GTTTAGGACAAATTGCTCGTGGTTACCGCCCTTACATGCTAAACTCTTATTGCACTATTGGCAACGAGCATTGTCCACCTAGAGACGGGTAACATTTACCACACCTTGGAGTGCTTCTCTCCGCCATCCCCGCCATGTGTTGCATGCATGTAGCAGCTGTGTGTGTGTAAACTGCCCCGCCCCCTCGCACACAGACGGGGGAGAGAGATCGCGTTCTGGATGGGAAAGATCGAAAATACATCATAGACGCATTTGTTTGTCTTTTTGCATATTAGAAACGAGTTGGCGACACTAAGACTGCGATATAATGTTTATGTAGCAATAACACATATGTATGACATGTATTTTTTAAATGTCTCCAGTACCGATAACGTTGGAGCTTAACGGCGCGTAAAACACACGTGATGACGTCACCAACGAATCGACGACTGAATTAGTTGGCAACTAATTTGGTCATCGATTTTTAAACCGATTAAGTCGATTAGTTGTTTGCACCCCTACTAAGGACCCTGTGCCCACCAGCTGTCTCCTGTTCTCCAACACTCTGTTTCAACCTGAGGCCTGCACCTGGAGACCATCCCGGTGCTGCGTTGTGTCCTGTCCCTAAAAAGACGACTCCTTCTGGGCTCAATGACTATCGGCCAGCAGCTCTCACATCTCATGTGATGAAGGTGCTGGAGACAGTGGTCTTAGTCCCATCTCAGACCGCAGGTGAGATCATTTCTAGACACTCTGCAATTTGCCTACCAGCCTCACCTGGGGGTGGACGATGCTATTATTTACCTGATGCAGCGTGCTCACTCACTCTTTTCGGATGACTCTGCAGTGTGTAGGGTGTATAAGGGATGGACGGGAGGAGGAGTACAGAGCGCTGGTGGGTGATTTTGTGGAGTGGACTGGAAGAAATCTTCTGCTTCTGAATGTGGCCAAGACCAGAGAGATGGTCATTGATTTCAGGAGGAAGAGGACCAAGCCCCTGTGCATTCTAGGAGAGGATGTGGCTGTTGTGGAGGATTACAAATACCTGGGAGTGCACTTAGACAATGGACTGAACTGGAGGATCAAACACTGTGTACAAGAAGGGATGAGCAGACTCTATTTCCTGAGGAAGCTGAGATCCTTCCACGTGTGCAGCAAGATGCTGGAGATCTTCTACCACTCTGTTGTGGCCAGTGCTCTCTTCTTTGCTGCGGTCTGCTGGGGGGGCTGGACCCCTTTGAAGCTGTAGTGGAGAGGAGGACACTGAACAGGCTGTTGTCCATCATGGATAACCCCCCCCCCCCCCTCTCCACCTGCAGCTGGACAGCTCCTTCTCCAACAGACTGCTGCACAAGGACAGATACAGGAAAAACATTCCTGCCCACTTAATAACACTGTACAACAAATCACCTCTGGCTGGCAGAGAACTCTCTGCTCCATAGTTTCTCATGGAATAGAAAACACATTGTACATTTATCAATCAATCAAATAGGTTGAACTAGGTGGCCTTCTCCTCTGCTAAAGCCCCTCTTACCTGTGGGGTTTCCCCAAGGCTCTATCCTGGGGCCCATCCTAGTTTTACTGTACATACTAGGTTCAATTCTCACTAAACACAATATAGAGTGGCGAAGTTCACGCCCATCTGCTTCCGGTCCATGGGACCTTATTTCGGAAAAATTATGTATTGAAGTCAATGGAGAGAGAAACGTATCTTTCGATCCCGTTTGAATTGTGTCACGAATTACACATATGATGTTTGTCAATCTTAAAAAATAATTTCCATGTCAGAAAAGTCACAGTTTGTCGTAAAAACTGTTTGAAATATAAGACTATGAAAAATTATGCAACTAGAAAGACTACAAATCCCGGAGTCGCATAAGTGATGTCATAACTGATGTCACAATTTCTTTCGTCAGCGAAATATAAGAGATAGATAAGATAACTTTAACAAGATGCCTGTGGCTTAGTACCAGGTTGTTATCATACCAGCAATGGGTCTTGCTCGTTCTTTCGCTTCCTGTCTGATGAAAGGACCAGGAGTGGCTGGCTGGATCAAGTTAGCTTCCTAGCTAGTAGCAAGCACTTTAGTTAGCATTACAGTCTTAGCCTTGTACTTTTTATTAGCCTTAACATGAAGTAACATTAAGTAACCCAAAATGTTAAACAGTAAGAGTAGTAGTCATATTTCGTGAACCCTTTGAAGAGTACTGTCACACGGTGTGATCATTCGGCCTCGCTCGTTAGGACTGGCTCACTTCATTAGGACTGGCTCGCTCGTTAGGACTGGCTCGCTCGTTAGGACTGGCTCACTTTATGGAGCGTCTCCATTACAGTTTATGAAACTAGGGTAGTATCTATAGTAACGCAGTGTAACAATAGCTCTAGCTAATGCTATCTGCCTAGCTAGCTAGCTAGCCTTCGATGCTCCATACAAGCATGGGTTGTCGAACATAAATGTAAGGATAAAATAGACTTCTTTGTTAGAAGTGAGCTTTAGAACAGATAGGGACACAACGCTTTCAAGCAAATAACAGAGTGTTAGCAACAACTTACCATGCAGAACCTCCAGTAACGCCGTTGCTGAGTCCAGACCTCCCTCCCAACGCTAGCCGGTCTATGGCCGTAAATGGTGTACATTAGGTCAAACCACTTCCAGTTTTTCCTACTGGCACCACTCGTGTTGTTGTTGTCATTCACTACGCGATACTCACTCTTCATCTTTTTCAGTTTTTCCCTACACTGCAAGACAGTCCTCGAGCAACCGCTTCCGCACATCAGTGTAGAGACCTCCTGAAACACTTTCATATTGCGAGTTGTCCCGTCGAGCTCCCGCTGGATCTTGTCATCTGCAATAAGTGTAGGAATGTCGTAACTTCCTCGGCGGACCACGGTGTGCTTTCTTTGCCATTTTTGTTGATACTCTGTTAACAAAAATGCTGTTTATAAAAATGCTGCAAGCCTTCGCTATATATATATATATATTGCGACGATTCTCTCTGACCAATCAGCAGTCGAGAGTGACGTCACAGCCTGGTTGTTCCTGGCCCTAGAACCCCGATTTTATGGGGCCAGAAAACTGTGAATTAGGACCCGCTTAGCCGTACTAGGCCAAGTGGAAACGCAACCAAAAGCGGGCCGCTGACGTCACAGCCCTCTTAAACGGGGCTCCGCGCTGTAGTGGAAACGCGCCATAAGACACAATTTAAGCCCGGGGGAGAAATGCTAATGCTACATTAGCACCGGCGATCTGTTCGACTTCATGCTATCTGCACAAATGGTTGACATTAAACATTAAAAAGATCAGGCAGTTCAGAAGAGAATCAAGGAAGGAAGGCAGGCAGCATTGTGAGCATAGTAAGGGTAGTCAATCACTTTTTTGACAAGACAGTAGTGAGGGTCATCTTGGTGACGTGTGTTGTTGTGAAAGTCTGCGAGACCAGAGATGTAGTTAATTGAACGTTTCACACAAACAAATGTGTTACTTCACAGTTTTATGACAAATTTCTTTTTTTTTGACTTGCAGAATCATCTTTTAAATTAACAAACATCATATGTGTAATTCGTGGCACAATTCAAACGGGATCGAAAGATAATCTTTCTCTCTCCATTGACTTCAATACATAACTTTCCGAAATAAGGTCCCATGGAGCTCGCCCGGAAGGGGAGGGACTTCACCACTCTATTCCCTTCTACTGCTACGCCGACGATGTACAGATCTATCTGCCTCTCAAAGCAAATGTCAAACACTTACTACAGCAGTTGATGGACTACTTGATAGAGATCAAATCCTGGCTGAGCCAAAACGTTCTCAAACTCTACGAGAGCAAGACTGAGGTCATCTTTTTTGGACCCCAACCGCCAGCCTCTTCCGGTTAATATTCTGGGCACCCTCAATAAAAAACATCCTCCCCTCTGTCATGAACCTTGGAGTGACCTTCACTAGCACTTTTAAATTCGACAAGCAGGTCAGCACCGTAGTCAAATCCAGCTTTTTTAAAATAAGACTATTGGCCAAAACCAAGTCATATTTATCATTTAAAGACCTAGAAATTGTTATTAATGCCTTTGTTGCCTCAAGACTGGATTACTGCAACGCTCTATACAAGGGTATGGACCAGGCCTCAATTAGACGCCTGAAGCTAGTCCAAAAACGCAGCTGCACGTCTTCTGACTGGCCACAAAAAGCGTGACCACATCACCCCAATTCTGGCCTCACTACACTGGCTTCCAATTCGGTCCGAATTGATTTTAAACTCCTTTATTTGTTTTTAAAGCACTAAATGGTTTGGCTCCGGCCTATATAGCTGAACTCCTCCATCGCTACAACCCCAGCCAGAGCTTTAAGGTCTGCTGACCAGCTGCTGTTGATAGTGCCCAAGACCAGGCTCAAAACCAGAGGGCACAGAGCCTTCGCATCAGCTGGCCCCAGGCTCTGGAACACTCTGCCCCCCTCCATGTGAGGTCGGCCCAGACCCTAAGGGTTTTAAAATCTACACTTAAGACACACTTCTTCTCCCCTGTTCTTCTAGTCAGAGCGGAGCATGACTCCTGACTTTTCCCTGTGTTTTTTTTCTATTCTGTTGTAATTTATTGTCTTTTATTGTGACTTGTAGTAATGTGTTTTATAGTACCATGTACCAGCACTTTGGCTCAACCAAAAATCGCTTTTAAATGTGCTTTATAGATACAACTTGATTTGATATATAAACCTTGTTACATTAACATGTATATTTTCTACTTTCTTGTTTATTTCTAGTCTTTTAATTGTTATTGATACAATGCCATGTCTTGTTATGCTGGCTGTAACACAAACATTTCCCAAATTGGGATCAATAAAGTACATTTTATGTAATCTTATCTAATATTACGTTGTATTCCCAATAAATTGAATATTTTCTAATACGTTTAAAAGCCTGCCAGAATGATTTCTACATAATTTGAATAGAGGTTTGTTAGCTCTAAGTAGAGGTCTATCCTGTTTCAGCCTGACAGGCCATCTGAACCTAGATCTCTCTTTACAGGTTCCCAAGATACATTGGGATCTGTCCACAAAGAGGATTCTGACCATGGAGTTTGCTGAGGGGGGGCAGGTAACGACAGGGAATACATGAAGAAACACGGCATCGATGTCAACGAGGGTACTGCCTGCTCTGTGTGTCGGTTGGTTACAAAGCTTATACTAAACTGACTGATAATCACACACACAGACACACGCGCACACGCACACACACACACACACACACACACACACACACACACACACACACACACACACACACACACACACACACACACACACACACCACACACACACACACACACACACACACACCACACACGAACACAAACTATCAGTGTGTCTACACAGCCTAGCATAGACTGATGACTTAAAAATCATTGATGAAAGTGGAGAAACGCCATAGCTGCCCAAGCAATATCTCTATCTATTATATCTATAATTAAATGCATTCTCCCTGTGTTCACTATGTAGCTCTAGACAAAAGGCTGACCTTCTGTTGACAGTCGGTGGCACACCCCCCATGCACAAGAACAATATCAGACAACAGAGGTTGTTTGTTTTAGGCATGCTAGCCCTAAAAAAACAACTTCCTCTCATGATGAATGATGTATCGCAACAGTGTTTCATTAAACGAGAAAAACTTTGCAGTTTTGCATCGTTAACATCTTAACATTTGAGTTCTAGTAGGAGCTCAAAATGCAAATACTTACCTGAAAGTGAGCACAATAAGTTATTCTTTAATCTTTATCATTGTTAGAGTTCAAAGGCGAAAATTATGCATAAATTGCACATACATTATGAAATCATGGACTTCCTGTTGGATTTGCAGCTTATGTCTAGGAGATATTGTTTGTTTCCAAATGTTACATATAGCGATGCAATCATTTAAAGTGGGGGGGTCTTTACTTTGAAAGCTGTGGACATCGATGAGCCAATTCACCACACCCCAGACCCAAATATGTCACGGTCTGTCTGTTTTCCTGTTTATTTTGACATTTATTTTCTCCTGGTTTCTTACTCTCTGAGTTGTCCGTCCTGTGCCTGATTGTCTCATCGTGTTCACCTGCTGCCCCTGTATTTCCCCTAGAAAAGATCTTGGGATAACATGACGCAGACAAACCAAGGGTTTCAAAATAACATTACATTTGCCACACTTTAAAGCTATACACACAATAACTTCCAATCAATCAGCACAACAATACCATGACTATGCACAAATCATAAATGTCTTCATGTCCAAATAACTAAGCGCATAAATCATTATTAACAATATCAAAAATACACCAAGATTGTCACACTTACATTCTAAATGTGTTGTGACTTGTCATTTTTGAATTTTTCTCCTTTCTTTCTATATCATGTCTCCAACAGATCTCAGAGAACCTGGGCAAGATCTATAGTGAAATGATATTTGTCCGTGGCTTTGTTCACTGTGACCCGCACCCGGGCAATGTCTTGGTCCGAAAGTGTCCTAAGAGCAAGAAGACCGAGATCACCCTGCTTGATCACGGTCTTTATCAGGTAACAAATCTACAGGCTGCCTGCAGATAAAAACACTCTATTTGTCATGCCGCTGGCCTAGGCTAAAAGCCTTGGTACATACATTGGTAGAGCAGCAAACACACAGTCAAGGTGCCCGTAATAAATCATGGCTTCTGCACACACTATCACATGCAGACACACTTCTATTAGAGCTACAACACCATAAAAGCTTTTTGATAAACAACTAATTTGATGTTGTGCTTAGCAGAGTGCAGGATGTTGTGTTGCGATGTGTGCACCACAGCTTTAGTGATGCAGTCAAACACACCCACACACACACACACACACACACACACCACACACACACACACACACACACACACACACACACACACACACACACACACACACACACACACACACACACACACACACACACACACACACACACACACACACACTGCTCTTACAAACACTTGTGTTACACTCAGTTTGTTAACTGCTTGTTCCTGTATTCATAAATAATTAAGGTAGTCCTTCAAAATTGGCACACACAAATGCATGCACGCACACAAGCAAACAAACTAACACACACACATATTTTTCTGGAACCATAATGGTACCAATTAACTCCTTATGACTTCTGATTACAGCTGTCATTTTGGAGTAGAATATTGTTTCACTCCTTGTGTAAATGTAAATATAAAATGAATATAAAGACATACAGAACACACCCACAACTTGCAGAAGTTATGATGATTTTTACTTAGATAATGATTATTTGTCAACATACCTAGAAACAGCTACTGTGTTCTTCTACTCCACTACAGTTCAGTGGTAAATGGTGTACTTTACTCCACTACATGTATTAATACCTTTAGTTACTTCACAGATGTGGATGAATGATGTGAAATATAATCAAGTGTTAAATCAGACTTTAGTTCCACCTGGAGTAAATCCACCAGCTCCCCTGCAGTATACAAAGTCATTAAAACTAGCTGCACCTTCACCAGCTTTGAGAACACTTTCATGATCAATCATTATAAAACATATCATATATAGTATTCTGAAATGGACCAATCTGCAGAATAATGTAATTGTCTGGTACTTTTACCCCCTCCAGGTCCTGGAGCCAGACTTCAGGTTGGACTACTGTCGGTTGTGGCAAGCTCTGATTAGAGGGGACATGTCGGGGGTGGAGCGTTACAGCCGCAGACTGGGGGCTGGAGATCTGTTTGCGCTGTTCGCCTGCGTGCTCACTGCTCGATCCTGGACCGCTGTGAACGCCGGCATCAGCTCTGTGCCTGTCACACACTCTGAGGTAGGCCTACTGTATGAGCTCCAACAGACGGATAGTGCATGTTCAGAGTATTTATTCCGATGATTGCCTTTATTTAACAAAGTGCACAGGTTACAGTCCCATAAAACATGTCTATAGCCTAGAAATATAAATGTTGAGCCCACTATGTAAAGTGTGGGATGTTGAACAACATACAGACACGGTATTATTGTCCACACTGTGTTTAGACAGCAGCAATTAGCCAAATCACTATCAGTTTACTCGAATATATAAATATGTGTCCCCGGTGTGTAAGGAGACTCACAAAGTGTCAGAAAACAAAACCCTCTCTCTTTTCCTCCGTACCCACATCTCTAAAAACGGGGCTACAACGGAGCTGATCTAGATTTGCTGCGTCATGATGACATTACTAAAATGTGGGCTGGCTTTGAGCCCACGGCCCTATCAGAAAATGTTGCTGTATCAGAAACAATGCCTGACATGTTTTGGAAGTAATATGGTCTGTGTTTACATTAGCAAGCATCGCTAACACTCAGAGCTAACCTGTACTGGAGAGTGTATGTGTAAAAAAGCCGGATATAAAAAGGTACTCACCTTGTGGTAAACCCTCAAGAAAAAAAGCATTTGAGCTCCATACTGTTTCAGAAATAATCTTTGATGTGGTTTTGAACATGATATGGCGTTTAATTTTTTAAAAAGCTTTATACCCAGAATCAGCACTTTAGTAACAAGGCTGGAATAGAGGGGTATGAGGCATGCCTATAATGCTTTCCTTTTTTTTGCACTTTTATTGTCATTACATAGTACAGGTACAATGTAACAAAATGGTTTCCCTACATTTGACCCATCCTAGTGTTAGGAGCAGTGGTGCCTTGCTCAGGGACACCTCGGTAGCACTTGGTCTTGCCTGGACTTGAACTGGTGACCTTCCAGTTGCCAAGCCAAGTCCCTAAGGACTTCGCCACCACCGCCCAGTCCTGTTTGGTATTTTGAGCAAAACACTTCATAGACATGTTTTTATATATTTTCATTATATATCTGAGACCTATAATATATGCCTAAAAATAGCATGATAGGAAACCTTTACTGGTAGATTGCTGTTTCACTTGCAAATATCAGACTGGTCTCTGTAGCTGTTAAGAATCAACATTACACAGCAGAGTGGATTAAGTCAAAATGTTATATGAAGTCAAATTAAGAAATGTCCCCATAGGGACAGCATAGGGACAGTGCAAGTAAAAGGCAAATACAATTAGTTGACAAACATAATAAATAACAAAACACACGTTAATAAAATAGAGAACAGTTCCAAGGTACAAAAAAAAATAGCAGTAGTGCAGTAGAGAACTAGCAGCCAGTGCTGAGAGTTTTCAATTGTGAATGTTGGTTTTCCTCTCAGTGGTGGAAGTTCTTTACGTTCCTGTTTTCAATGATTTTTGTAAAGGTTTTCTTAGAGCCTTTAATTTAATAGGGTAGGAGATGGACAAGGAAGAGGGAGAGAAAGGAACACACGCAGAAAAGGTCGGACTGGAACCAGGTTTCAGCCTTGGTCTCATGTGCGTCTGCTCTACGGCGGCGGGTTGAACTGGAAAGCCGACGATGTGAGCGAACCTTATCATCCGACATCAGTTGGACCTCACTTATGCTTTTATGGCTGAATTTAAGTCTGTATCACATTACATTACATTGCATTTAGCTGACACTTTTATCCAAAGCGACTTACAGTAAGTGCATTCGACCAACAAGATACAAACTTGAAGAAAACATAATCATATAAGTACATCAGGTTTCATAGAGCAAACACATTTCAAGTGCTACTCAGCACTTGATAAGCCAGTCCTTTAGATAAGACAGTCCTTTATTAGTATATAAGTGCTTTGTTAGTAATTGTATCGCTCGAAGTGGAGTCGAAAGAGATGAGTTTTCAGTCTGCGCCGGAAGGTGTGTAAGCTATCTGCTGACCTGATTTCAATGGGGAGCTCATTCCACCATTTTGGAGCCAGGATAGCAAACCCACATGTTTTTGCTGATGGGAACTTGGGTCCCCCTCGCAGCGAGGGTGCAGCGAGTCGTTTGGCTGATGCAGGGCGTAGTGCACGCGCTGGCGTGTACAGTTTAACCATGTCCTGGATGTAGGAGGGCCAGATCCATTCGCAGCATGGTACTCAAGTACCAGTGTCTTGAAGTGGATTCTAGCAGTTACCGGAAGCCAGTGGAGGGAGCGGAGGAGCGGAGTGGTGTGGGAGAATGTAGGAAGGTTGAAGACCAGACGAGCGCTGCATTCTGGATGAGCTGTATCACAGCACGTTAATGCCCATGTGGGAGGATATCCACACACCTTTGGCCATGTTTGTTTTTACAGGATATTTTACCAATATTTGTCACACTTCTTTCAAAGCCAAGGGCGCCAAAATACCTACATTAAAATTAAAAAGTTGTCAGTTATATACATTTTCCTCAAGGTATGATTGTTTCTAGGATCCACATACATGAAGCTGGTTTGTGTGTCTTAGTTGGTCCCATTACCCACAGGGGTTCCACAGCGCCATTTGTGCTCAAGAGGATTATTTATACCTCTCTTATGCAACAGTTTGAAGCTGGCTAAAGTGCAACACTATAGTCTGCTATAGTCTAGCGGTCCGTATACAGCCCGGGGGCCTGAGGTTTCCCCACCCCTGCTTTAATATAATAACATTAGTATTAATTAGGGCTGTCAGTCGATTAAAATATTTAATCGCGATTAATCGCATGATTGTCCATAGTTAATCGCGATTAATCGCAAATTAATCACACATTTTGTATCTGTTCTAAATGTACCTTAGAGGAATATTTTTCAAGTTTTTAATACTCTTATCAACATATGAGTGGACAATATGCTTTATGCTAAGTTTATTATCATTTGAACAATGACAAATATTCTCATGAATATTAAACACAACAACCTCTGAACATTACAAATATTCACCTCAATTCAACCTGGAACCTCTCTCATACAATAATACAATACAAAGTGTGTGTCTGTGCGTGTGTGCGTGTGTGTGTGTGGTGTGTGTGTGTGTGTGTGTGTGTGTGTGTGTGTGTGTGTGTGTGTTGTGTGTTGTGTGTGTGTGTGTTCGTTGGAGCTATGTGCAACTCAAGGCATATGCTCGAACGGGAGCTGCCTGGACGCTGCAATCATGTTACGCGCACTATCCGTGCTGAGTGTGCTGACTTGTCGTACAATGTCCCACTGTCTGGCTTCCTGCATAAAGTCAAGTGCTCGGCGCAGTTGTCGGCGAAATGTCGCTCCTCTGTTTTCATCGAAACAGCTCCTTATATCCGTTAGCGCAGCTAGCTAGCACCAGATGCTAACAACAACAATGCACGTAAGGTCTCTCTCTCGCTCGCTCGGGCCACACATACACACACCCTCCCGGTCCTCCAGATGGCCAGTCGGTGCCTGCCGGTGAGCGTGGAAGTGTGGTCTGCCACAAGCGGGCAGCAGGAGCGGAGCTGTCAGCATCAGCTTGTAGATGGTGTTTTAAACTCGATGCGCTCTGAAACTACGGGGCGGCCGAGGAAAAAAATACACATGCGTTAATCGCGTTAAAATAATTAGTGCCGTTAATTTTTTTTTGCGTTAATGCGTTATTAATGCGTTAACTTGACCTAGTATTAATATCATAACCAAAATGTCGGTGATTAACATTTTGTTTACCTAATACAGACTGATCACTCAATGCTTCAAACTGTCCATCATCCTAAATAGACTAAAAGCAGTTTTTTTGTTTTATATAGATCATTGGCTATGTGGAAAATACTGTGTTTGAAATGTATAATTTAAATTAGATGTTAGCTTTTTGTTATATATATATTTTGTATTCCAGTCTCCCTTCAGATATGTTACGTGGCATGTCATTCAACACAATGCTGCTCACCTCCTTCAGTTGGGAGAAAAGCTGGTTCAGCCTTATGGGGGGACAGGGCTGCTGAGCCTAAAGATGGATCTGTTGGACCTGGCACCAGGGGGAGGGACAACTGATTTAGTATGAATAGGCGCTAAAAATGTACCTGCATTTATTAAAGGTAGGTAGGTAAGAATAAGAATGGAGAAACCAGCTCGAGTGCGCTAGAATTTGAAAGTACACAACCGAAAAAAATATGTCCCTTCCTTCAGACTTCCTCACAGAGCCAACACACACGAACGCGCACATGACCAATGAGGGCACGAGATACGTTGTTGCCCAGTTGGAAGGCTGACAGGCAGGTAGGCCATCCAGTTACTTTAGCCGGGCCGGCTCAGATGATTGGTCGTGCTTTTTACAGAGCCACGGCTTCCAGAGATACATTTTTGTATGTATTTATTGTCAAAGCATTTCATATATTCATTGCTATCGGGATGTTAAGAGCAGTGAAATGAAAGACCTCTGAATTTTCTGTAAAGATATTAACAGTACTTAATGTCAGCTTAGTAAACAAAAAAACATTAGCTAATAGACTTTCCACCACTCATGGACCACACCCACCTTTTCTTGTGAAAAACTGGGTGACATACTGTCGCCCTTTAGTCCCTCTCTCTTTTTGTATCTCCTTTCTCTTCTTTCTTACAGCCTGACTTTGTTGGTCGTTGAAACATGGTACAACACGTCTTACATAGGCTAAGTACTAGCATCCCTCCTCACATGCTTTCCACTCTCTGCAAGTGCCGGTGCCGCACCGCGTTTGGAGGCAGGACCAAACCATTACATGTAAATAGAAGGGGGGTGTACAGAGGCTTTGGGTAATTAACTTTTGGAGGAAAATAAGTTAAATTAATCGTAAGTTTAGTGAGTAATTTATCAATATAACGTTCTATTAATATTAATTATTGAGGATTGATGAAAGGTTACTTACATTTTTTTTTCTTAACGTTCTAAACATTTTGGGGCCCCTGTCAGTCAAGGGCCCTTAGAATCGTCCTAACTTTTCACCCCCTTAAGGCGCCCCTGGCTACAGTGTCTACCCATTCACACATGACAGGCCATACAAAGCAGAATTAAGCA